AGTGGATTCTTTTCGAAATAAGAGGAATGCACAAGGCAGACTCATGAGATTCTGGTGTTCCAGTGTACGCGAACAAGTAGAGACAACCGCACGTATGCCTTGATATTTTTCCTGAACAGATGATCAAAGCCGTTCAACGGTTTACTCAAGTCATTTGAATGGATGGATGTTCCAGCGAACAGGTGAGCAAGTCGTTCGAACGGCTTGATGTTTTTAACAAACGGGTGAGCAAGTCGTTTGAACAGTTGGACGTTTTTATCGAACGGGTGAGCAAGTCGTTCGAACGGATGGATGTTTTTACCAAATGGGTGAGCAAGTCGTTTGAACAATTGGATGTTTTTAACAAACGGGTGAGCAAGTCGTTCGAACGGCTGGACGTTTCTACCGAACAGGTGATCAAGACGTTCAAACGGATGCAAATTTTTTTTGAACGGATGACCCAGGTCATTCGAACGAATGCAAATTTCTTTCAAACGGCTTTCAAACAGCCTCTAAACGGAATTCCATTCGAAAACGCAAAGCCATTACTGCACGTTTTCGCCTGAACGGTCACAAACTAACAGACACTTGGGTGCCTTAATTGATGCAACAGAACACAGGTTCAACTTGATCGTTTAGATGGACTGGTGTTGTCCAAGACACTAAACGTTCTGTACTATTAAATCTCAAAATGACATGGAAGCTGTTAAAACAATAAAAATTAAAGCATTAATCATTTCACAGTCTACTTATTTATTAACTAAATGGCCTCAATTGATTTTGCGACTAAATTGAGACCAAATTTTTGTATCTAGTTGCAAATTTGCGACCAGAAAATTTTTTTTAATTTCAAGCACTGTGATATATCTTCTGAAGTGAAACTAAAACGAAGTAGAAAACAGAGAAATAAAATTGTAAAAATCTGTGCTAATTAAGATCAGATATCCAAACACTGTCACAGTCATGATTTCCTTTGTTTAACTTGTCAATAAGCAATATTCAAATGGAGGGTAGGTTCAAATTGACAGCAAAGCAGGCAATGAGCAAGCTGGTGTAGGCAAAATGCAAATAAAGGGGAAACCATGGCAACCTCTCACAGCTAACCTCCAAAGAAAAAGGAATTCCAAGACATGTAAGTGCTTGGAGAAAGGGGAAAACTATTTCACCAATGATTTGGCTGCCCGAGTTACAAGATCAGGTGGGATTCTAATATATTGTTCGTAAGCATCACTTTTCCACTGGCCCAGAAACTGGATAATGTGATCTGGAACGCCAGCCCTCCCTGCAGCGGTGGCTGCCCCAGATCGGAAACTGTGACTGGAAACACACCAGGGAGGCCAGCAGAAAGGAGAATGGCTCTTGACCTGCCTGAGACCAGTGAGCAAGTTAGCGGAAGACAATCTACTAAGAGGAACAAGGGGCCAGGATGGTTACCACTATGCGCTAGGTAGGAGACGACAGCTTGGACAGCGCACAAAGGCGGCGAAAATAAGCCAGTAGACAAGCTGCCCAAAACACAACATCATCAAAAAAATTGAAATCGAAGGCAGAGTAAATCAAGCAAAGAATGTTACTGGAAAGCTGGGTCAAGAGCTGAGGAAGGATGAGGACTGGAAACATCTTTGCATGTGGTGCTTGAGAATGAAAGGCCTGAAAATTGAAGTGAGACAAGGCATCAGCTATGTCGTTATTTCTTCCTGGAACATGAATTGCAGTAAACGTAACACTGAAGCAGATTGCAGCTTTGAGTAAGCTATGCAACAAATGCATAATGTTTGGGTCTGCAGACCTCCATGAGTTGAGAATATGAACTGCAGCTTTGTTATCGACATGAACCAATATACACCTGCCAGACCAACCAGGACCCCAGACATGGGCCACCAAAACAACAGGAAAAGGTTCCTTGTATGCAATGGACAGTGGAAATTGGAGAGTAGACCACCAACCTTTCAGCCATTCATTGTCCAAAAAAGCACCATAACCAATAGCACCAGATGTGTCAGAACAAACAGAAAAAGTCAGGCAAAGGCTCTAGGGTGGGAAAAAGGATAAGGGGGCACCCAGCCCAAATTTAGAAACCATCTTAATAATGTCATCCATTTTGATGTACTGAAGATGCCAGGAGTCTGGATCGATTCCATTGCTGACGCTGTGGCCTTGTGGCAAGGATAGGTCCATGATAAAGCACCATTTGCCAGCCTATTGCCTTGTATCTGCAGGAGTATTATGAACTCACAACATGACCAGCTCCCAGTTGGCTTAATAGCTCAGTTGGTAGAGCACTGCACCGGTATCGCATAGGTCATGGGTTCGAATCCTGTTCAAGCCTGATTTTTTTTTTCAGGCTTTAATTTCACAGCTGCTTAACTTGTGTATATAACTGTGATGATCAATCAAGTCTTCATACAGTTTAATTAGTAAGTTGTGTTAGTAAGTAATGTTAGTATTTGTAGTAGCTGTAGTATTGTAAGAAGTGCGAGTGCTCTTATTAAAAAATGCATGTAAAACATGTAAACAGCACAAAGCATGCGCAAAACTATTTATAAAATTTTCATACATTGCAAATCTAGTTAACCTTTGAGAAAATCCTCATCACAATCTAGTAAAATGGTCTTTAAACACTATCCAAAACAGCAATCTTAATCAAAAGTCGCTTGCAAAACAAATTCACCATTCAGAGATTTCTTTTCCACTTGAAATGTAAATTGAAAGAGCAGTTGTCGAAAGATCAACCTGAAATTACATTTTGTGTGTCAGACTTTGAGGAAAACTGAATGGTTTCTTGCACAACAACGTGAAGGTGCTTCTTTGAATAGCACTCAATGCTTCTACCAATGAACCCTGTAGTATTCATTTCTGCCAATGCTAGGTGAAGAGCAACTTGGCTGTAGGATTTGCCACTGTGATTGCCAAGGACATGTCCTTCAAACTGCTCTAAAGTTGAACGTGAGTAGCCCAGCAAGTCTATCCTTTCAAAACTTTCAGGCCAAATTTCATAGTCTTCCTTTTCTTTATTCTGATACAGCATCTTCTTGTATTCCCCGGATTTTAGATTCAGAAGCACTGGCAAAGCACGAGTTTATGCTGGCCATTAAATTGTCTCTGCTTGGATCATGTATTATTAACTCGGTGTGAGGTGAATAGCAAGAGATAACAAACCAACCAGATTGCTTGAAACACGAAGATCACTCAACCCTCCAACCCTCTGGACCTCTGTGGCGAGGTCCAGCCATTAAGAAAGAGCTACCATTAATTAATGCACGTGCGCTAATCACACATGAAATTATGCACAGTAGGGATGCACAGTGCAATGCTGGGGAATAAGCTTAAGGTGGCTTACCACAGTTTTGATGGATTATAACAGCCCAACTTCTAACTCTTTTCAAAAATGTTCCAAGATATTTTTCCTCTCCCTATTTACTGTTCGCTGAAGTCTTTTACCATTCTATGTAAAACGTGAACAATTCAATGTCAACAAATGGCCAAAATGAATGACCGAGTACCTAACGAGAGACTGGGCACTACTACGTTAAATCACGTTTTTCTCAAAATCTACCCAAATGACCCCACCTCAAAATTTCAAGAATAAGAAATTGGCTCTGATTTAACATTCGTGCAAGTGAAATAAAAATCTGTAAGACAGATTTTCCACAAACCAAGAAAATGTGGGATCGGAAATAGCTCAAAATCTGTCTTAGATTTTTTTAAATTTCAGCTCTAAACGCAATTCACCCCAACAAATCAACTGTGAAAATTTCATCATGGGTTGTACAGTAGGTTTTCAAGCAATCCTCGATCAAAGACTCGCTTTTACAACCTTAGATGAGAATTGAATTGCACATGCCCTTTATTTAAGCGTGCGCTCATGTGACACCACATATCGCGTGCGAGAAAGCAAGAGTAAATAGAGTCCTAAAGTGATGATGTCACAAAATTAGCTCTGAATTGCAATTCCCGATAGAGATATAAGGGATCAAAGTTTGATAGCATCCCATACAAACCCTTCAAAATTCATTTCAGTTCCTTCAGTTTAGAACTGACTCAAAATTAGAGAGATTTATATGGGGTAGTACCAAATTTTCATCCTTTATATTTCAGCTGGGAATTACAATTAAGAGGTAATATTTGGCAAGGACCCTTTTTTAAGGACGCTCTATTCGAAAATGGTGCCAAATCCCATAATTTCTCAAATTTATTCTTTTGTGATGTCACACTTTAGGACTCTATTAGAGCTCTTTTACCAGTTATTTATAGAGCTTTTTTGTCATCTTTTTTCGGCCCTAGGCTTAAACACATGTTTGAACGGAGTTTGAAACTATTGCTACGTATCAAAGTGGTTTAGCTCCTTTCAAGTGCTGAAGTGGTTTTCGTTTCTTCTTAGGGTTACTTGCGTCATTTCTGCACGTGCAATTAATACTGACGCCTTGCAGGCAATGCTGGCGCGTGCTACTGAGTCTCAGAAAACAGTAGTAACTAGCATGACCTTGATGCTCTGTTTTAAAAACAAAATATATGAAGAAACAGGCCAAATGTTCGTCAACAATGACCTCGGAAAAGTGATTGAATGACACTGCGTGAGTTATAAAATGATCTGTTATCACGTATATGACGAAAAAAGTCTTTTTTCTCAGTCTGCGTTTTGTACATGGTCTGCAGTCTGCATTTTGAACCTATTGTGGTCTGCATTTTGTACCCGGTCTGCAGTCTGCAGCAGTCTGCATTTTGTACTGACCGCATGAACAATAAACGCTACGACGCCGAGACCATCTCTATAGTCACTGCGTTGCTACAAAAAATAACTAAGTCGGTCTTTGGACCATCTTGTCTTAAGCTTAAGTCTTACAACTGGATGTTGAGCGTTTGCACTTGCCGAAGCGTACATCTCAATACCGCAGCAGATTAGCCTACGTGGTAGCCGGCTACAAGTAGCTAAACATACCACCAGACGAGTATATGACATTCAAAAGGAATACTTAGGGTTACAATACACTGGCTCAGCATAGGAGGCCGAACTTACTTACCAATCTCTTCTCCATGAGTAATATCTAGCTCCACACGCCAACCGAGTACCTGCAAGCTGAAAGCCGAATGAAGTTGCACGGCCGTGAAGGACAACTTTCGCGCCACACAATGTCGACAAAATACCTATCGTGCTCAGTCCCTTATCTGTGAATTATTTGCGTAAAATCCACAGAACGCCCAGCACTTTTTGTATACTATACGAACCCTAGGCCTACTTCATATATCCCTTATAATAGTTCTGGTATAGGCTATTATAGTGTATTTGGAACTTCTTGTTAATTCTCTCGAATTCCCTGTTCTTCCCTACATTCCTCCTTATCTATTCTCTTATATTCCCTTATGTATTCCTATATATTCTCTTTTATTCCGCCATTATTCCCCCATATATCCCTCTGTATTCCCCTGTATTCTCTTTTATTCTCCTGTGTTCTCTTGTATTTCCTTGTATTCTCATGTATTCCCTTGTATTCTCTTGTATCCCCTTGCATTCTCTTGTATTCACCTGTATTCTCTCGTATTCCCCTGTATTCTCATGTATTCTCCAGTATTCTCTTGAATTCCCCTGTATTCTCTTCTATTCCCCTGTATTCTCCTGTATTCTCTTGTATTCCCCTGTATTCTCATGTATTCCCCTGCATTCCCTTGTAGTCCTTGTATTCTCTTGCATTCCCCTGTATTCTCTTGTATTCTCCTATATTCTCTTGTATTCCCCTGTATTCTTTTGTATTTCCCTGTTTTCTCTTGTATTCCCCCGTATTCTCTTGTATTTCCCTATTTTCTCTTGTTTTCCCCTGTACATAGGCGCACGAGCTGGAGGGGGGCGAGGGGGGTTGAAGACCCCCAGCCACGGAAATATGTAATTTTTCGGGCAAAACGCTGATGATTCGGGCAACGACACTTAAGAGAAAACATTACAAAATAATGCTGTTTGTGTGATTTCCAAAACTCATAAATAAAATGGAATTGTGTACGTTTTTGTTTTCTAGGCAATTTGAGTGTGTTTGCATCCCGATTTTAGCACTCTCGCATTCGAGCATTGTGTAAATTTTTCGAGTAAGAAAGTCACCGCCCCCCACCCCTCAAGTCCGAAAGTGCCCGTACGCCTATGTCCCTCTATCCCCTTGTATTTTCTTGTATTCCTCTATTATCTTGTATTCCCTGTAATTTCTTGTATTCTTTTGTGTTCACCTGTATTCTCTTGTATTCCCCTTTGTTCTCCTGTATTTTCTTGTATTCTCTTGTATTCCCCCTGTATTCTCTTTTATCCCCTTTTATTCTCTTTTATTCCACTGTATTCTCTTTTATTCCCCAGTATTCTCTTTTATTCTCTTCTATTCCCCTGTATTCCGCTGTACTGTCTTGCATTTTCTTGTTTTCTTCTGCTTCTGTCTTCTCTTGTTTTCGCTTGTATTTCTCTGGCACCGTTCCTACATTTTTAGAGACCTCCACGGACTCGTACGTTGCTGCTTGTTATCACCCTGTATCATGGATTTCATATTTTGCTTTGTAGCTTTATTTCTCCGAAAATCTTACCAATCAGCGCACTCGTATGAACAGGGATTTGGTTCAGCTACGCTCGCACCCGCCATTTTTAAAAGTGGAGAAGACCCTGGGGATTAGGTTGTAGGTGGACCCCGGGAAAATGTTAGATAATTGATCAGGTAGGTAGGTGGGGAATTTTTTATTTTGACGGATAGTGTGGTCAAGTTGAAAGTTTCTTGTTATCTGTTCTACTTGTAGATTGTGTTGCATTCGCACACAATTTTAATCATCTTTGTTATAACTCGATAATGAAGTTAAGGGAATATCGAAACGTCGTCCTAAAATTGTTAATTTTTTAAACTTTTAACCAGGTTTTAAGGTTCTCGACATTTTTCTTTTTCAATTTTGTTTAACCATATTAATTTTGTACTGTTTCGTAGACAATTATGGCGCGCCGTTATTTCCATTTTTTTTTTTTTTTTTTTTTTTTTTTTT